ATATATATATATATATAACAGACAATATTGCCAAGGAATGTATAGGGGAAGTTATTAGAACCATGATGAGATTAAGGAGTTTGCGGGTATAAATGGGCAGCAGCAAGCACAGGACCGACTTAACTGGCGGAACATGGGAGAGGCCTTTGTTTTGCCAGTGGACGTAGTCAGTATGATGATGATGATGATGATGATTAGAACCAATGTAATGTAAATAAGGAGAAAGAAAAGTGGGTGAAAAAATAACTTGCCGTGAGCAGGAATCAAACCTACGACCTCCGAATAACGCGTTCGAAACTCTAACCACTGAGCTACCACGACAGCTATCCCCCCAGCCACTTCATAGGGTATCTATGTCAATTTAAACGTGGGAGTGTCAGTCAGCGCCACTAGTAGCCATGGCGGCGAGTATAGCACACTCTTTATGAGCCTGTTTGGCGTCACGTAGCACGTGACCTTATTACTAACTGGTAGCTGACCAATAGTCCCCCGTATACAACCTAAAGGCACCAAGTCTGCCAGTACGAGACCCTCGTTAATGAATAAGGGAAACAAGTGTATACTTAAGGGCTCGTTTTTCGTGTTTTTTACACAATATTAATGAGATATAACAGACAATAATGCCAAGGAAGGTATGGGGGAAGTTATTAAGCCCTGTTTTCTTTCTTCTCATTTGCATGACATTTGGCCTAATAACTTCCCCCATACCTTCCTTGGCATTATTGCTGTTCACTCTCTCTCTCTCTCTCTCTCTCTCTCTCTCTCTCTATATATATATATATATATATATATATATATATATATATATATATATATATACGAGCTCTAGACGCTGGACTGCTCGAGCATTTCTGTCCGTACCGGCTGCCTGCCTACTACTACCTGGCGTCGTTATTAAACTCCCTTACAATATATATATATATATATATATATATATATATATATATATATATATATATATATATATATATATATATACGAAAAGACAACTCGAGAGACCCGTAAAATAATGTAACGAACCAAAACATGTCCAGTCTGGCCCTTCGGTGCCTCATAGCCACTGCGTTTCCCTGCCCTCTTAAATGTCTCGCTCCACGTGCAAGCAAAAGCCGGCCACCGGACCGCGTTCATTAACGGGTGGGTGTGGAATTGGGGTCCGTAGGGGGCAACCCGTGTACGCTTCCGCGTAGGCAGTTCAATAGGCGGCTGGTTTACCGCCGGCCGCCATCGCCGGTTATGTACGGAGGCGTCCGAGTTTTATGACTCTGTCTCATCCGCCACGCAACCGGCGTTCATCAAGGGCGCGCTCGTGCAGGGAACTGCATCTCGCCGGGGTCGTTGCATCTCGCCGCCGCAGGTCGCGCGTTCCATGATGCTCCGCGGAACCGATAGTATCGCCGCCTTCATGACCAACTTACGTGACGGCCCAAGCTGTTTTGACGGAAACGTACAACACGCCTCTACAGCGGCGGAATTTGAAGCGACGAGTATCAACACGAGCCAGCTAAAGTGGAGCGCTGATCGGCGATAGGGCAGCAAAAAGACTTCAACGCTACTCGCGCGCAGATGGCGATGGTCTGGCGGATCGACCGAGCCGCTGTTTTGCTATACATTGTACGTATTGCACTGCGCTATAGTAAGTGGAATGCTCAAGCAAGTCTTTTTCTGTGGCATTATGCTGCTCCACTCATTTCCGTGGCTGGCTTAAAAGGTCCTGAACCAGGTGCCCACGAAAATTATCTCTGGAAGTTAGGCCTCTGAAACCAGTTCGTCTATTTTAGCTACAACATACGCATATATCCCGGTCGGTAGACTATTTGTAGTGTTGTTGTTAAAGATCGTATAACAGAAAGAGAGAGAGAGAGAGAGATCGCAAGACAAGCGCAGGCAGAACAACCAAACAACAACATTGGTGTATGAGCTTCTTGTGTCGCTTCAGTAAAAGCACTCGCTCGCGGCTGTTGAATAAACAGTAATAATTCAACTTCCATACTAGACGTATTGTTTTTCCCCGGCAATGAAATGATCAACTAAACTCGTATTACCCCGACGTGCCTTGTCACTAGCGGCTTCCTTCACGTCGGTCGTGCTTTTTTCTTTTTTTTTTTCCGAGGCAATTCTCAAACAGTGTTAACACATTTTGGCATGAGCAGGTGGTAGGCGTGTCAGTGATGCACTGCGATGGTTCGTGCGGTAAGACCAATTAGTTGTTCTTTGTGGAACGGCACTGTGGCTTGACTTTAGTCAAAATATATAACGTGAATAAGGAGCAATAGTACAGCTGCATACAATCACATGTTTGTTTTTTTTTTTCGTATGTCTTTCGTTTACGTCGTCGAAATGGACTTGCAAACGAACGTTCAGCTATCGAATGATAACATTCTTTTTGGACGACGCCGGTGCATCTCAGGAACGAATAACGCAAATACCGATGCAATACCCAGTTCTTTTTGTGCATCTCACACTTCATTCATGACTATGGTATATGAAAACAGAATCCTCAGATATATGTTTGGGCAACATAACGCAATGATGCTACGCCCTCCCTTCCTTATTCCCGCTGAACTCAAACCGAGCCTCAAGTAAACCACGAATGTGTACGGTTAATGAACAACATCTTTTAAGCAACAAGTATTCTGAGTATGGGTGCATACTTATATCTTTCTTGAGTGTGGTAAATGCGTCTGCCACTCGTGGTTCTTCGACAGTCCTTCGACTTTTGTGACCCGACTGTGCTATGCACTGGCATCTTCAAGTTCATTTTCCCCCAAGTGGTAGATAAGGACGTATAATAAACTATCATCTGTGTTCATAAGAGCCGATGAAGAAGGATCGATTAGTGACTAATCTTCCCAAGGTGACTAATCTTTTTTAACGAGACACTTCTGGGTATGTAACATCTGAATTTTAACGTGCCGAAACCACGATGTTATTATGAGACACGCCACGCCGTAGTGGCAGGACTCTGGAAATTCCGACCATATATATGACATTCTTTAATGTGCGCCGGCATCGTACAGTACACGGGCTTTTATATAGCACTTTGCCTCCGCAAAAATTTAAACCACGACCTTCGGGATGGCCGCCGAGCACTGTAGACACTCATCCGACGCGGCAGACACAATTACGGGAAGATTAAACTTCGTTAGTTGGAGTGGTTTCGTTGTCGCTTCTTTCTTTTTACCGACTCTGCCGACGAAGCGTCTTCTTTCTCTAACGATGTGTGTGACCTCGTGCATCTTTTTTTTTGTTTGTGTTTTTTTACGCATCGGATAAAGCTACCACCTGCCCCAAGCGAACAGGCAGGTGCATGTCAGCTCCACTCTCTTCAGAGATGACAGATTGGACAGTCGTTAAGAGGAGTCGGTTGGATCGCCTGGTCAGGATGCGCTGAAAACAATGAGCGTCCCGGCACAATAACGACGTTTAAGAAACCCTCGAAGCTATAAGACGCAATCATTTTTCGCTCACCTATGCGCTCCCTTTTTAGGACGCGGAAGATAAGGGCTTAAGAATAGGCTCTACGCAGGGCTATCAAGGGAGTTTAAAACCTTTCAATAGAGGCAGCGCGCGATAAAGCATGTTGTGGCTCCGAGAATACGACGCGGACTTCAACGTAACTGTGTGGCACGGCACCGACAACGAATGAGCGAGCTGATATAATTTTCAAAAAAAAAAAAAGAAACACAAATAAGTAAAATACGTGCTAAACAGTTTCAATGTCACAACAGTATTCCTATAATAACGATAACAGAAAGTTTTATACGATAAATAGCGATATAACTATTTTTTGTGTTTGTGTTCTTGAAGTAATGATACATCGTGTATTAGAGTTTCAGCTAAACACAAGAAATGCGTTACTGCGGAGCCTCGTGTCCAAAGCGACCACATGAACCACGGACTTGCTTCTGTGTACAGCCTTGAGGTCCACCGAGGTCGATATAATGTCTCTAGGAGAGTGGGAAGAAACGCTCTAAAAACTGGCTTCGCGCGGGTGATTCACAGTGACCTTCAGATTGCTAATCTGACACTGCCTTGCCTATTCGTTAGCCCGTATGTTGCGTAACAGACTAGTAACGCCCGAAGCCAGCGTCACGCAAAGGAACGCGAAGGAAACAACTCTCCGTAACGGGTTATACAAAGGGCAAGACCGACCGCAGTCGAGTTCGTGGAAAACCGGCATCGTGCTCTGAAACGTGACAAGGGTCTCCGAGTAACGTGCACATTCGGAGCATGTTTCCCACGGCGTGCGTGTGTGGTTATAGGCTATCGTTTAGGTGACAAAGCAGGGGCGGGCACGAGTTAGAGCGAGCAGGTATGTCGCGGTGTCGAAATGGCCGCCCCCTCTGCCCCCCTTTCTTAACCTTTTGTTTCTTTTGTATTGTTGTTTGTTGTTTTCTACAATTACGTTTTGATGTATCCACTCCTGCTTGGGCCAGCACACTGGCCTGCAGTATTGTGAAATAAATAAATAAATAAATAAATAAATAAATAAATGGCGGTGTGCCATGCGGCAGCGCTAGATTATACACACACAAAACGACACTCTTCGCGAGAAGCAAGGAGTGAATAGAAGAAGAAGAAGAAGAAGAAGAAGAAGAAGAAGAAGAAGAAGAAGAAGAAGAAGAAGAAGAAGAAGAAGAAGAAGAAGAAGAAGAAGAAGAAGAAGAAGAAGAAGAAGAAGAAGAAGAAGAAGAAGAAGAAGAAGAAGAAGAAGAAGTAAACGGGCCGAAACGGCGAGACGCAAGTGCTGTCTGTGGCGTGCTCGCTTTTTAGGCGACGGCGTACAGAGGAGCAGCTGTTGTGTCGCGACGCTTGCTGCCCCGCCGTGCCCGGACCGCTCTCCGTCTTGCCGTTCCGCCCGATGGCACGACCTCTTCCTCTTCTTCCTTCGCGAGTGCAGAAGAAAGGGGGACGGAAAGCGCCGGCGGTGTGTGTTTTCCCCCTCGCCGCTTCTTCTTCCCTTCCTCCTCGGCGTCGACGCGAAAGAGCGCGCCGCGGCGGCAACGAGTCCGACGTCGCTAGCGGGCCGCTAAGGAAGCCCCCCCCCAAGTAGGGCGCTAACGAAGCCGACGCCGTTGGCGTGCTCGGCGCTGTTGTACGTGCGTGCGTGCCTCTCCGGTCTCTGCGTCGTTCTCCGACACCAGCGCGGAGGTCCGAGTGGAATACCAACGGCATGTTCTTTAAGGTAGGTGCAGCTGGCGAACCATGTCGCTCTCTTTGCTCGCCGCTTCGCGCTTTCTTGCACATGACGTGAATGTGAGATGAGCGGACGCTAAAGGATTTTGCTTCACTCCGTTTGAGTTGCGTTAAGAGATCGTAATACTCCGAACTTACGGATGGTTCGGTTTTACCGGTTTCAGTAAGCTTCGGCGAGTAGTTAGTTCTCAGTGTCGCGTTAAGCGAATGACTTCACCGAGTGACTCATACTCTGCGAGGTGTAAATTTATTTCAGACACGAAAAGACACCTAATTATAATATGTCCCTCGGCTGGCAAAGTGGTGAGCAAGAGTAAATTAGAAATTTTGACCTTTCTCGTTAGTGCTGATGGTTTAATAATGAGAGCCTGCCATTCCAGTTTTTTTAATTAAATAAACTAGATTCACTGATCAATATACTTGTGCTCTGAATGTACTACCAGAAGGAAAAAAACAACAACATGGAGTCTAGTTAAAAGCGCTCTTGCGGTACGGAAGATGGCAAACGGATTCACAAATGTGCACAGAGAGGAGGTGGTCTGCCACCCGGGGACCAAAGCCGGGACCAATGACAGGCTGTTGCGAGAAGTACGTCACTATACTTCATTTCCACATAGGCATTCATTGAGAAGCTTGTTTTCTTTCGAACACAACGGGTCGAAGAGGGGAGGTCTCACACTTGATGAGGACACGTTACAGCGGTATCAGACACTATTTGATGGATCGAAAACAGTCGGCAGGCCACACGCAAGCGTCCGTTGTAACTATACAAGGCTGACAGGGATGGAAAGATGGCTATGTACAGTATGAATACATTTAGTCATGCAACATAAATGGCTGGAGAGGTAAAAGCGTAAACAAGAGTATATAACGCAGAATATGAGAACAGTCAATCCAAGTTGTGAAAAGCACTTCTCTCCGTGAAGTGTGCACGGTGTTGCTGTATTAAAAACCTATAATACAATATCAAGAATATGGCCACCTCACTGTGCAGGCAAGCTGACAAATCCTTGGAAGTTACCACAGAAAGGGACAGACAAAAGAAGAATAAAAAAAAGAAAACACAGGAAAGTTATTCAAGTCTGTTAGCTATCTACTCTTGAAAAGGGGGAATAAAAGAAACAAAAACATTAAAAATGAGCAGATAAAGGCCACTGTTGTAGATGTTGGAGTGGTAACAGTTCCGTGCTCAACGCCACTGACACTGATTCATTCTTCGGAAGTGACAGAGGCAACGGGCACGCCAGATGCTATATAAACATTGAATAGAACGAATAAAATTCAAAGCTGGTATGCTTGCGTACGAGCCGTTTGCTTGTACAAACTATACGCAGCGACGTCAATTAGGCTTCAGCGAGATTTCACGTAACAACCGCTACCGAGCTCGGTCCCGAGAAAACTATCAGTTAGATCCGACGTCGCGTGTGATTACCGTCCTGCGTGTACGGCCCGACAAAAAGAGCGCCAACGATGCGCGACCTCGTCGTACTGATATACTACGCTTGGTGCGGAGAAAACCCCTTCGCGTGGACCAGCTGTCGGCCAAGCCTGATGACTATGGGAGCGTGTCGGTAACGCCGGCCGGCCTCTCAGTGATGCAAACAGGTAACTGCGATAAAGAAGGGAAACGAATAAAACGAGACACCGCTCTGAGGGGGGGGGGGGGGGGTGAAACGAGGCGAATACTAAAACGCAGCGTGTAGCCAGCTGGAACCGAGCGGAAGCGTTGCGTCACGAGGTTGAAGTCTTCTTCTGTATACGCCGCTTTTATTATTGTTATTTTCGTTTCTCACTCACTCAAAAGTGACAAGCTTTGGAACCGATGGACGCGTGAGAGTGCAGCGCCGCCTTCACGCGCAATCTTTCCCTTTTACGCCAGAGTCGGCCGACGAGTACAGCCCGGTGCTTGGTGCGCTGGTTGTACACACGCGCGAGGAGTGGCGCGTGTGTATATAAGCAAAAAAAAAAGAAATAAAAAACCACGCACGCGTACAAGTGCGTGGAAAGAAGTAATACGGGCGGACCCCATCGAATCTTCGCGTTCTTCCGGTGTAAAGGTCGTTAAAGGCCGTTTAAACACGTCTCCGTGAGGCTTTGATTTTCCAGCAGTTGTTGATTGCTGCGAAAAATCTCCGCTCAGAAACAGGAAGCCTATGTACATATATAGGGTTCCCGTTTCCGAGTGGAGATTCTTGTGGAGAGCCGCGATGATAGCATCTGCCCGTTTGGCACTTCTCTGCCATGTCAGCACCGCCTAGAAATACCGTTCTGCACCCTAGAAGTGTGTGTACCGTTTGGAGCGTTTTCTTGGCCCACAACAATAACCACTGTGTGTGCCTTTCTGTGCTCTAACGCCGGGTACCCTACACTTTCGGAAAATCGTGGCACACCTTTGATGGGGACGTGCATAGGCGTGCGCAGGGTTCCCGATCAGGGGGGGGGGGGGAGGCGAAAAATCATCGCATCGCCCCCCTCCTCCTCTTAATTATTAAGCCTGTGTATGAGGAATATTTTGCGCCCCCCTCTTAGGTGACCCAGCACCCCCTCCTAGGCGACTTAGGTGCCCTCTTTGGTGACTAAGAGGGCACCCCACCCCCGGCCTAATCAATGTATAGAACACATTTTGCGCCCCACCCCTCTAAGATGACTAGGGAGGGGGGAGTGGCCGCCCCCTCTGCCCCCCCCCCCCTAGTGCGCACGCCTACGGGTATGTGACGAGCACCGAGTTTTCAAAAAAGGAAACGTCGAAAGCCAGATTGCGCTTACATCTGCGTATATAAATGCCCACAAAAGAGTGGGAACTGTTTTTGGAGAGTAGTCTTCATTTACCCGTTAAGCTGACAGTTCATAAACAGTTATTGCATCAATTCCGATGAGTTTAAGACAAGAATAATGCTCGCGGGCTTGCAACGGCTGTTAACACCCAGCCCCAAAGGTTCCAATTTCCCAAAAAGAGATGTCAACTTTATAGCGATGCGCATTACTCAAAAGAAAAGGAGGAATAAGAAGAGCCGGGGAGGTTATTTAGAGGTATTAAAAAAAATAACGACATATCCTCGGAGTGAATGATGATGAGTGGGGCAAAGCGTCCATCCGTTTGTCTCTCAACTATACGAAAACATCCATCCGTCCATCCATCCGTCCGTCTCTCTCTCAACTACACAAAAACCACCAACGCCATCTAGTGATAGTATTTCCGAGGACATATGCACAAAATGTCATTTATTGAGCAATTCATAAATTAGAGGTGGCTACATACTACTACTACTACTACTACTACTACTACTACTACTACTACTACTACTACAGAGAGGAGACGATTCACACCCAAGAGCTTCGGCCCTAAAAACTTTTGGGGGTCCCTTTTCAATTGTTAAGACATCTGTGATTGTGAAGGCCTTTACGCGTTAACTTCATTTTTTTTGCGATTGTCATCTTACTTTCACGTGGCATTTACCATTATTATAGGTGCGTGAATCCTATCACTCCTTAATTCTTACCTGGTCTGATCCATTTTATCTGCCTATTTCATATTGTATTACCTATATACACGCGATTGTTTATATTTATGTGACTCTATACGTTGATGAATATATGGCGACAATGATAGTGATAACGTTTCTGCCTCATGTGCTGTCAAAGCCGCTGGCCAGTCATATTTCGAGTATAATGAGCTACTGAAGGCACGTCGTTTTTAAAATGCAAGAGATCGGTATGCTTTTGCACGCAAATGATTTGAGAACTGTAACCACGTTGGAGCTGGAATGACATCTTAAAACTCGGTTTCCGACATTATGTGTACTGGTCAGTGTGAGACCATCAAACTACCCCGACAGCATACACAAAGATCGTGCGAACGCGAGTCGCACGATCGTTGAACGGGGTGAATGTCTAATTATCGTCGGAGATTGAATGCGGGCCTGAGCAAATATAGACGGGCCGTCAACTCTTCCTGCAACGATTCCCATGGCACCGCGAACAGCGCACACACACACACACACGTCTCTGCCCTGAGAGCACACAGCTGCTTATTCGTAAAACCAGTTCTTCCTGCGCGCTGACGTGCACTGCATACGAACTAGAGACTTAGCAAACGGCTCCGCCACGGCGAACTGTACGACAACGGCGCTTAGAGGCATGTACCTTAGTACGAATAACAGATATTGACGCTATAATCTTCTTCGCCGTCCGCTAAATGAGACACAAGCCACGAATGGTCCTGGTATACTAACCTCCCAGGACCACACGCATCAGAACCACACGGTAGATTAGTATGATAATCCGCAACGACTACAAGAACAGCAAAGCGAATGATCGTGGGCGGCCTTCAGTGATCAGGACGGCGCCGGTTCTGAGCAAAGAGAGTGAAAGAATTTCGCGCGCACATAGCACGAAACTTGTCTTGCACACTGCGATGTCAAGGTTGAACGCGACTGCCAGGTTGCCAGAAACCCTTTGCAGCCGCAGTGTGTTAACTCAACCGGTCCGTACCACAGTTCACGTTCAAGAAACTTAAGGCTCTCATGGCGACGCGCAGCGGCAAATGTCTTCATCGCATACACGTCTCGCCTGTAAGAGCATGCGCGTCGCGTGGCGATAAGCACCGACGTGCGCGCTAAATGAAGTGGCAGGTTACTAACAATAGGACAACAACAACAACAACAACAACAACAACAACAACAACAACAACAACAACAACAACAACAACAACAACAACAACTCGTTTAGCGCTGCGAGCGTTCTTTCACAAAGTTGGGGTGTTTATATACTGCGACGGACGACTGGTTCCGATATAGACTCACAGGGCTCGAGGAAAAACGTTTTCACGCCCTTTCCGGATACGCTGTTTACACATCGGGCACTCCCCTTACGCAAATACTGTCGACGTCATCACTAACCGCATCGGCGTGGAGCCTGGTGAATTAATGACCCGCCACACCTCTAACAAAACCCGAACCCTGCAGTTACGAGTCAAGTACATGTTCAAAT